TTTACTGCTGATGCTACTTGTATAAGTTTAACTTTGATACATCTCAGAGGATGCAAAGAAGGGTCCTTCAGACTCTTTCCAGGATTGCAAGGGATTGAAGCTTACTGCCAGGCAGACCTGTGTGGGTGGAGTTCAAGTTCACTGAGGTGAGACATAAAGTCTCATGGCATTTTGTTTAAAGAAGTTCATGTTTCTGAGCACTCCGATTCACCTGCTTCTGCCTGTCTTGGTTGGTTCTCACGGTTTTATTATTTTACTCTCTGAGCATAATAGGGACAAATGGGGTTCTTTTCTTACTATTTTCTAATATTCAGAAATCTTAAGAGTAATATAATTCTGTTTCTTTCCTCCCTTCTTGACGGGGATGTGGGGAGAAATATTGCACGTGACTTAGTAAAATGAAAATAAAATGCTAGTCTTATTACTGATAAGGTTGTTTTAAAGAATGAAGTTTGATAGGTGGGCAAGAATTAGACTGTGCAAATATTTCCCCTGCACCTGAAAATCACAGTGGCTACACAAGGAAGTCTGGATCTGGAGAACAGATGCATTTGCCCAGAACTGCCAACCTCCTCTGACCCTGCCTTAGCCGGGGTCTTCACAGCAGACAAGTAGTTTGTTTGGGAGAGGATATAGCAGATGCATGGCTGGGAGGGGAGAGGGCCAACAGTGTGTTGCTATGCTAACTATCCCCGTGGGTAGTTGTCTAAACCCACAGGGAGACTGAGAAAGGAAGCAAAATACATGCCTGATCATCAAGCCTCCTACTGGGTAGGAAGCAGGGGTATTTAGTCACCAAGATGTTTTCTGAGGGAGTATTAATTTCCAGACTTTCTACAAGTGTCTGGACAGAGGGAGCTCCCATGGTTTGGGCAAAAAAATCTCTCAGGCTCAGCGACAGAGGTCCTGGAAGCTAGAAGACAGAGCCTAGATGACTAGGGAATAAAACCTACCAATAGCCTCTTTACAGTGCTAGTGGTGGTGAGAATAGGCAAGAGGGGCTGGTAAAGGGTGGCCCTGGACTCGGGCTGTTGCAGTGAATGGAAAGGAGAGAGGCAGACCCTAGGTCATATGTGGTGAACTTGTGTTAGTTACGCTTTTATAATATATAACATACGTGTGTCGTGTAAGTCTATAAGGTCATAGAGACCATACGTTGCTGTAACAAAATCACACCAGATACCCTGGCTCAAACCTCTTCCCGGGGCAGCAGGAGATGGGTGATCCAGAAGAGGTTTGGAAGAGAGCTCTTTGAGCATCCAGGTTCCAGACTTCTACCTAGCGCTTCACTCCTGGCTAGGTTCCTGGCCGTTTCAAAGCGGTTCACACAATCACTTTCAGTTCTCAGGAAAAAACTAAGAAAGAAATGGAAGACAAGCAACTTCTCTGGAGGCATGTGACCAGGAAGTTGAGCAGGCCACCTCCGTCCACATCTCGCTGTCAGAAGGTCGTCACATGACCAAGGAGCTGCAAAGGAGACTGGGAATGAGGGTCCCGCTCTAGGTGCTTGTAGACTAAACTCTGGTGAGAATGGGGTTTTGTTAACCGACCGGAAGAATGAAATAGAACAGGAACCACGGGGAACAACCAGAAAAAGCATGTTAAGACAGTTACAAAGAATTCTGATGACTAACCTTATGAAGGTCTCCTGTTCTGATTTAAAGTGTATGCTTTATTGTGTCCTGAAATGCTGCCCTTACCTTTATGTTTGCTTGCCTGGTAAGCTGAAGCTAATTTTCAGATGAACTCGATTATGAATGTGGGCTTATTTTATCTCAAGCTCGTGAAACACGTTCTTAGTTTTTTCTGACCTATATATCCAATGAACTTTACTGTCAATTCTGACGAAGCTTTTCTTCTCTTATCTTTACCTACCTCCTTTCTGATCCTTTCGGTTTTTGTCACTTCATATTGATTTCAATGTAGCAAGCAAAGGGTAAGTAATTCTCCCTCTCTCTTTACACATTTTATTTTATGTACTATTTCAGGGAATACACTAATGTTTTCACAACACTGTATTCTATGTTCTCTTTATACATAGAGGTGATTGATCTTCTATATACTTGCATGTCTATCTGGGTAAATCACTGCTCTTGAAAATTTTACATAGGCCCTTCATGCTGGCGTGATGGGTTAAAGCACAGCACTGCAAGCTGGCCGTGTGAGTTCATCCCCAGCTGGAGGTCACCTATAGGGTACAGCAGACCTCTACTGTCTCCCCGTTGTTCCCCTCAGCAGTGTACTTTGTCAATCTGCCTAATTTGCTCCCCATTCTGTCTCTGGTGAATTCGCTCACCACCCCTTCACTTCTGGCCTCTGGCCTGCACCCTCATTCTGTATACATAAATAAACAAATCTTTAAAAAAAAGAGAAAACTTTACATAATTATTCCATAGTGGGGATTCCTTCTCTTTTTACTGAGAAACACAGTGGACTAATACTTAGCCATCAAAAAGATAAACTCATGCCATTTATGGTAACATGGATGGGATGGGAAGGGATTATTCTAAGTGACGTGAGCCGGAAGGAAAAGAGAAACATTGAATAATTTCACTTGTAAGTAAATATTTCATATTTACTTTTTAACTACTACTGTGTAATAGTTTATTCTTTTTTGTTTAACAAAACTTACATAATGGTGTGAACTCAGCATGTGGATCTTTGGATGGCACCCAAGGCTGGAGCTCCTGGGACCTCTGGGTGTGACTAGAAAGCTGGTCTCATTTCAGGAGTTAACAGGCACCATAGGTAATGAACAGTTACTTTCACAGGGTAGATGCTCCACAAATAGTTACTATACATTGTAATAAAAGATTTATCTTTTTCTAAGTAGCATAAAAATGAGAAACAAGGCGCACCAGGCAAAATAGATTCTCAATTAATCGTAGTCACAATTAATTACCTTTAAGTTGTTCTTTAGGTCACAGGACAAAGAATTAATGAATTTTTCACCAACCCACAACAAAACAAACCAGTTTTCTGGCAGTCGTTATTTTAATAGGCCCTAACTTCACTGTCAAATTGTAGACAAGAGTACAGCTGGGAAGTGCAAGAAGAGCTAGTTTGAGAAATAGTCTTTACACAAATGGAGTGTCTGTGTACAGCAATGCAAACATTACAGCGCTCCCCAGATTTTACTTTACTCTGAAATTCCACCAGGAACTCAGAAAGCTTTTTCTGTGTGAGGTAAGAAGACCTTGATGGAGAAACTTCTCGACCCAACTGTTTCTCTGGCATATGTCCAGTGGTAATATAATGGGATATTTTGGAACCCCAACAGGACACCAGAATGTTATAGAAGCAGCATATGGCATCTGTCCCTGATTGATTGATATAAAAAATTCTTTCCTAATTATTTGGCAAGGCTATCCCATTTTTTCCTCTTTCAATAAAGAATTATGTCCCCCCCCCCTTTTTTCAGTAGGTTTCTTTTTGGTAAGTCATTTGGCATTACATTCTTGGGCCCAATATTTGTTCTTTCTTTATTTTTCAACTTCTCAAACTTTATTTAGATTGTAGTTAATCTCAGTAATTTCTTCAAGGTGCATGATATGATTCTTTTGGCACATTGTGGTATCACTATTTAATACAAGTTGCTTTAAATTTATTCTGTCATATCTAAAATTGACTGACTCTTCTCAGAAGGGTTCAGGATATTGAATGTAAAGTTCAGCATCTCAACATATTTCCTAAAAAGTAGAGAACTCTCATAGTAGGAAAGTTCTTATTACATTTTCACTTCTTTATGATAGATAATCAAGGGACTAATTTCCTTAAAATCAGTCCTTTCTACCTATCCTCAACAACATACATCGACACATTTCTTTATAGTTCGATAACCCTGTAACGCGATTGTAGATTTAACTTGTTGAAATTAAGATAAAGCTTTTAAAGTTTACAATTAGAGTTAAAATTTTGTGCCACTTTTTGGGGAAAAATAGAATTAAGCTGGCATAACTTTGATTCACCTACTTGTCCAAAACCCTTAGCTCATGAATAAGATGGACTCCTGTATTCACTAACTTTGAGTGGTGAGTATGTTAGAGTCTGTTATATTATCTTTGCAATAGTTTGTTCTATCTTGTGCAATGTACTTTTTTCTCAGATAGGATAGGCTTATTTAATCAACGGCTCTGCCCTAAATCTTTTCTGGGAAAGTTGGAAGCTGTGTGAACACAAGCAAACAGGAGCCCATTTTGTTGGTTAGATGCACTCGGCGTTTGACAAGTTGCATGTTAATGGAGACAAGAAGTGAAGGGGCAGGATTGCTATGTGAGTTCATGGACTGGGATGGGAAAGAAGCCATGAATTAGAGTGTGACTGAAGCGGAGTGCTTTTGTACCAAAAATTATTTGAAGCTAATGGGTGGTCTGTCCAGGAGAGGCATACATTTTCTCAAGAACATAGCACCCTCTCCCCCAAAATATAACTTGCCATCTCTGTTTGAGTGGTTGCCTTTTTCACAGGCTGTTTCTGGAAGTGCATATTGGTCAAATGCCTGGTTTACATTTTTCGAGCAGCTCTAGGCAGGATTCAATAATAAGGACTAAAGGAACTGGAGTTTTCTTTAATGCTGTGGATGCTGCTTTGACCACGTAAGGTGGAGCGACTGTGGCTGTGAGTGGCGGTACCAGAATGCTGTTCCTCCCCACCAGGTCCCTCCACCTGCACTTGTATTTTCAGAGGATTGTTAATGAAAATTGTTAATTTCCCTTTTCAAAATTGACTTTTCACAGCAGCTCAGTTAGCTGACTCCAAAAGCAAGCAGCAAGCCGACTCATGCTGGGGGGAAGAGGGAGAAGGTCCAAGGCTGGGAGCTGGCGGTGGGGACTTCAAAAGGAAACTAGTGGAGACACTGCAGTGACACTGCCCTCCGCGGGCTGGTTGAAGCATCTCACTGGTGACGGGTCTGGGAGCACGTGGCTACGTCATGGAAAGCCAGTCTTTTCAATGCAAACTTCAACTCCTCCTCCTCCTCCCTCTAATGCCTGTAACTCACATCCGAGGCTGGGCTAGGAATCCGGAGAGGAGATTTTCCTCATGCTCACCGTTGCTGGAAACTGGAAGAGGGAGAGGAAGGAGCACCGGGATCCGTGGCGCTCTCTGTCAGCTACCAGCCCGACCAGGGGAGGGGGCACCAAGATTTGCATCTTTTCCTCGTAGTGATTGAGAACTGCAGGTTCAAGCCGATCCCACGGAGTACTGGCGATTGATTATAAAAAGGAAACCGACCCTGGGAACAGGAGGCTCTGTCTTCGGCTGTCAGACTCAATCTCGGAGGTGGTATTGGTGTGTGAGTGTGTGTGCTGGTGGCTTTTTTTTTT